CCACCAGCGTGGCCATGCTGAGAGCCCACAGCAGCCACGGAACCAAGTCTCTGTCCACACACAGACACACACACGCTGTGCATCCCGTGCTCTCCACACCCACCTTCCCACGCCAGGTTCCATCTTACGCCACGGCTCTACGCCTGACGTAAGGCAGCAGTTCTTGGGGTATTCACCAGGCCTGCCAGTGATAACTGCTGATAACGCTCCCCCAGCGATTAAGCTGCTATCAGCAGAGTGCAGCTACGCTTAAAAAAAGTCAACATAGTGGAAAAGTGCAAGGCTTGCAGTCATACCTGGAAACTCGCCTCTCTGAAAACATGCAACGCTCACTGAAACTGAGTGTTAACAAAAAGATACTTAAGGCTTTTTAAAATTACCGTTGGCAATATGCTCAGCCCTATTAGTTACCTATGTGAGACAAAGCTCAAATACTGAAAAAATACAACGCTATTTAAAGAAACACATTTTAACAAGTCTCACAAGAATTCAGTCCCTAGCACCAGGCATTGAAGAGTAGAGGGAATCAACTTTCACATGGAGGGAACAGCCTCTATTTCTAAACTGAACAAAGCTTGGCACCTAAGCCAAAAGCACTCAACACCCATTTCACAAGAAAATTGTTCCTGTGTCTTACTGTCTTCTAAGCCTCTTCCAAGCGATACTCATAGTAAACCTCCTCTGAATAAAAAGTATAATTTACAAGGTTAAGTATTCCTTCCCACTTCAGATTAATGCATTTCAGATTTATCTGAAACTGTCAAAACCATCAGTGTTCAAGAGTCACTGAAATCCCTGAGACTGCTCCCTGTCCCCAACACAGCCTGTCATGAACACCACTCTGGAAGTCAGGTGAGTCAGCACAGAAGAAATGAAAAGGAGGAAAATCAAAGCAAACAGCACACTCTGTAGCTGGATATGCTTCTGAATCCTTACACCATGACAACTTTTGTCACTACTTTTCTAGTGAAATTTGACAATGGGACTTAAGTCTTCTACTCCCCTTTCAACTATTTTGCAGTGCAATTATTTAAGAAGTGAAGCGTACTCCAGTGCTAACTATTCTTATGGTACAGTCAAAATATGCTGCAAAGTCTTAAGATTTTGTGTTTTTCCCAAATCCTTAGCTGTTAATATCAAAACCCAGTTTGCATAAAGATATCTTCTCCCACAGCTGCAAAACAAAATTTATAGATACAATCCAGTTCTTTTGAAAAGGCCGGGAGAAAAAAAAAAATCTGTTATATGTGTCTTTGTGGATATCACAAGCATCCATCAAACTGGGAAGAGTTTGATACGTTTTGTGAGTACACCATCCACTGCATGTCCAATGTCCACCAGCAAATTCTTCAGTCCAAAGTGGAAAGGCAGTATCTAGCTGTTATACAAAACAAAGCCAACTACTATGCTGTGTTCCTAAACAGAACTGACTGCTCCATGAACTAGAGAAATCTGACAGTTATTATCAAATCTATAATATATAAATGAAAATAGACATCAAGCAATGCAAGATGGTTAAAGGGTTGCACTAGGCATATTGTATTTTTTCATACCTGTAAACTTCATGCCCTCCCCTCAAACTGAGCAGCCAACTAGCCACCATACAGAAGACTGTAACTCAAGGGAACCATTGCATTTGTCTTGGACCTCCAAGTTAAGACTACATAAATGAAGGCTCTGACCAAAAAGGTTTTACTGGTATACCAAGATCAGTCTGAAATCTGTCAAGTACAAGGCAAGACTTATAGTCGGCAAGAAGGACAAAGGTTTCCAAGTACAGTTTGCCAATTCCAGAGACTGATGGTTAAAATCAACATTTTTCCATCTTATACATCAGACAGGCAAACCCCTATTTAGTCTGAGAAATCCTCATTTTGGTTGTTTTAAAAAAAATCCTAGTAGCTTAAATTCCCCACCCCCCATTTTATTCTGAAAGGCCAAGGGAAAAACTAGATTTTGCCTGCTGATAACACTGCCTAGCTATAGCTCGCCGTCAAGTATGCAGCATTCGGATGTGTTTTACCAAATACTTACACCTTGGAATTATTTAAGTTGTATTTTAGGTATATTTCTCCTATTGCCTACACCTCAGGAACAGCATTTTAAATGTCTTGCAAACAAAGTGACAGAAGTGTCTTGGACAATCCTGTACCTACAGATTAATAAAATGGAAAGAAACCAGTTAAGTCTACAGTGAAGTCTGATGTCAAATTCATGTCACACAATAGACAGCTACCACACTTTCCACACTGTAGCACATTCTTAAAAGCCTCAAAGTAATTTTGACTTCATTCCTGCAAAACCATTTCCTACAGAGACATGGTATCCCAGGAATATGATAAAATATTATCAGAAAGATGTTTCCATATCTTCAACAAGCTAGATTATTGTTAAAAACTGTTTGCTACCCCTGTTAATACAACATATAACAGTGTACAACTTCACTGAAAATACAGATATCATATAATGGCCTAACAGGGGTTCTTTGTAAAGCACAGTTCTGCAGTTCAGGAAAGCTTACTTACTATAGGCAGTTCCAAAACCTGAACTACATTATTCACAGAAAAGTGATTAAAGGGATTAATGGGGAAAAAAAAAAAAAAAAAAAAGAGAGAACGGGTGGATCACAAGACAGTAAAAAAGGTTAATGTCTTAATGGTAACTTGTTAACAGCTGGATGAAAATTTAACCACCAACATCACCTCACATTTGTAGACACCGAGACTTATTTCAATGGTGAATTCAGCAAGCATCACTGCTGCTGTCACCACTGATGTCTCTCGGTATAACTATCACCCTTCTAAGAGACATGTTCTCAACTTCAAAATTCACTTCCAAGTCTAGGTAGAAAGACTAGGAAGCAGACTTCAAAATAAATGCACTTGCAGCTTAATTCACTCTCTATCCTTAAAAATAAACCCGTGGTGGTTCATTTTTAGAGATTCCACAGTCCCCAGTAAAGTGTGTATTTTAGACCAACGTTGTATGCATTAGGAACTGGAGTTACAAACAGCCTTACTTTAGCACTGTCAAGTACTAGACTAGGTAACAGTGTTTCACATTTAAATGAGACTGCAAATGAGACGACAATGACTGGATGACATAAACCAACTCAGAAGCTTCATGTATTTTAAGTCTGTAACTAAAAACATAATCAGTAATATGGCTGAATCTAGAATATCTGCACACTACTTTCCCAAGGAATTTCTTAGCAGCACATCACCCCCCAAAACACTGCCAGAATGCATGAGTATTCTTGCTTTTTCTTGCTCTTGATACTTCTTTTAAATTTTAGCATTGAGTTACTGTACTGTTCACCTCATGCTTTTAGATACCTAAACCCTACACTCCATATGACTAATCTGCAAGAGTGGAAAAGACTGCCCATGAAGCAGACCACAACAAGGTGCACCAATGCTAGCAAGAGTCTTGTCCAACAGCCTTCATCAGACAACTCTTCCTTTGAAGCACCAGATCCACTCTGCTTTAGTGCGAAGTGGAAAGACAATCTAGATGGCAGTCTCAGACAGACATCCCTGAAGCAGGAGATCTCCCCTAGATCCTCTAGCTCTTTCACTGCTACTGCTTTAAACCAAGCCATCAAACCACCTTTCTGGAAGGAACAGGAAGATCCCTTGAACAGTTCCCACACTTGTTTTGCTCACAAGTGAGCTACAAACAGAAACTGTGCGTGTGTGCCAGTTCACCCTTTTCCCTCATTAGTTTACTCATTTATGAGCTACTGTAGTCACTTCACCAGCTGCTCCTCACATCTTGCCGCTAGCCGAGCTGTTGAGTCCATCCAGAGAAACCCTACCTATTCTTGAAACAGTTATTGCATGTTTAATTAGCAGCCATTCAATTATGAGATTTCATAATGTTAGCTTCCCAATATGAATAAATAATTATCCAGCCTTGAAAAAGTATCTCTGCAAGTATTTCAGATTTTCATCACTGTTCTTTGTCAAAGCCATGTGAGGCAGTGAGTTTGCAGCCTCAGGATTACTGGCAGGAACCTGGCTTAGTCTGTGAGCTCCTCCAGAGGAGTACTTGCTTCCAGACCACAGGTAAGGTTTCTTCAGCTTTTCATGAAACTCTGAATATCTATCACTCAACACGACAGCAAAACTGATCTTAGAAGTTACGCACAAACTCTATAAGAAGACAGAATACTTCTGGAGAAAACCAAGACATTGTTTGAGTTGAATTGCTTTAGGTTTGGGTGGGTTTTGACAAAGAAAGATGTGGCACCTTCACAATTTTGGCACGACTGAGTCATGCTAATGAATCAATCATTCTTCTCTAAGTATGAAGACATCACACTGCACATCATTTCTGTGATGACAAAGTGCCAAGAAGAAACATGTTAACAACAATGCTGACTGGATCAGTGTGTTACATGAAAGGCCAGCCTCTTGTCCTAAGACTCTTTATACATTTCACATGGAGGTGTATACTTTAAATTTCAAATCAGGAAAGTTTTACCCCTAGAAGAAACTCCAGATAAGACTACAATCAAGAAGTGAGATGTAACTCCTGTCTACAAAAGAGCATTTAATAGAAAGCCACTGAATAGGGAAATGGAAGTTGGTCAAAATCCATCACATGAAGAGATGCTGTCTAATTTATCACACTGACATACAAAGAAAGATGTTTACCAGCACTTCTAATACATTTATCTGTGTGCTAATGATGTGGGGAGAAAATCCAGATTTGATGAGTTAATTTGTGTTGTGAAGTTTCGATGCTTCACACAAAACCATGATGGGAACATACACTCCCCTGCTCTGAATTCAAGTTTACCAACAATGGCTACATTTACTTAAGCCCACCTAAAGCTCCTTCAGCATTATCACCACACAAAAGCAATCCAGGCACAGACTAGCAGTCACCCAGACCCACGTGAACATGTCAACAAGCTGTTCCTCCCCTTCTCAATCCTCTCGGTAACCATTCCAGTTGGAAAGAGAGACCCATGGGACTTGTGCCCTTAGCAACTCCTGTGTGAACATGCTGCAGGGTAAACATCTGCAGGCTTCCTGCAAACGTCTCAAAACAAACAGTACTCTGCTAGCATTTAACAGAGTCCTGCTGTGCCAGGAGGCACGTTGCTGGAGGGCCACACCACCAAGCTCCACCATGCCTCTGCCCAGCTCCCCAGAACTGGCTTTACTGGCTCTGCCCTCCAAGTTTCCTCCACTAGGTCTTCCCTGGAAGTTTATTGTTGAAAGCTTTTCCATTTCAGTCATCTTGTAAAGCAAAACTATATAACCTGATCTTAAGAAAACCTAGTAACTGGGGTATAAATGCAAAACCTGCTAAATTCTGTCAAGGACTTGGAAATTTGAATGGATTAAAAGTTTAAAACTTGCATCAATCCTAATAAAATCTAATTTTATTTCGTTTTAAAAATACTTGGTTTTACCACAAAGTGTTCAGCAGCAAAGATGTGAAACTATTTTAAAGGAATCCATCTAGATTCCTCTACCTAAATTTAATGTTTTTCTGTATCCCATGCTTCCAGTACTTGCTTCAGAAACACCTCAGATTTAAGAAGCCTCAATCTTAATCATTATTTGATTTTAGTTTTTTTAAAAATCAGCTTCCCCATCTTAAAAATTATTTCAAGTTGAGACATGAAAACAGAGCAACAGGTGAAGGCTAGACCTTGAAGTGAAGTTTTTGGTATATGCACCTAACTTCTATTCAAAGCCCTGAAATCTGTTTCAGTTAAATAACAAAGTCCTTGGAACTTAAATGTCAGCTCTGTCCTATAAATACAGGACAGTGACATCATCCAGAGCTTAAAGCAAAAATGCAATTTTGTTCAAGTTTCTGCTAGAAAAGAAAGACATGCTTTTTAAACAGCATAATGCTAGCACTTCAACAATAAAAACACATTTAAAGCAGCAGGATGCATTAGCATTACTTTTAACCATCAGTGTTGTACAGTATACAAGCTGTTGCCAAGCAAACTTTAAAGAATTCAGTTAAGTTGAAAAGCCTCCCAAGACAAATACAGCCAGTACAATGATGAAATAGTTCTCAATACTCCGAGAGCTAAAGAAAAGTCATATTCAACAGAACCCGTTAAGCAGAAGTATTGTGACAAGCCAGAGCATCACAGGGCATTGAATCACACAATCACTAGGACTTCAACAAAATGATGACAAAAACCCCTTCAAAATCATTAAATAGGAGGAAAGAAACAGTTTGCAGCTACTGATGAATTAGTAGCACATCTTTGACAAGTCATATCCACAACAGATAGGACTTCATTGCACTTCACTGCAGTTTCTTTCCATGAGTTCAATGCTAACTTAATAGTTTTACTTCATCCTCTTATCTTGCTGTGGTTCAGGTTTATTGCCAGTCTAGCTTTTACTTAAGAAGAATGAAAGCAAGCCAGAAAGCTTCTTTCCCTTGTTTGCAGACCAGAAGATTTTAACTTTGTGAAAATTGCTTAGACATAACATTTTCACAACTTGTTTTCTAATATAGGGCTCAATAGACACAATGGCAAAAAGTTTCCTTTTTTTTTTGGAAAAGGAACCTGCAAATATTTTAGTGAAGGGCAGTTAGTAACTGACTAGCATTAAACTCTTTGAGCTTAGACATTACATTGTGATACATGCACTATGGAAGGAGGGAAAAAACATCACGTCATGTATTAGACTTATTTAAGGTTCAGGTTGAACACTTCACTACCATGACCGCTTTCAGACCTTCAGGCTGCAGAAGCCCAATGTGAAGCTCTAAACACAAGCAGCAGTTCTGTGCAAACACAAACGCTGAGGAACCTGCGTGGAGCGAAGCTGTTCATGCATACCTCAGCACGTATGCATTCCATACTTAAGCATCCATACCTATCCCAGCAGGTCTTTGACTCGCGTAACTTGTTGAAACGGAACGCATGGTAGAATGCATTTGACGGATTCCTAGGAGATCCAAGAATCAAACAGACATACTGAAAATGGGTACATAATAAAAATATTATCTCTTTCAACCTGCATTACAAAGTAAATTAGCTGTCCAGACATGTTAAATTTATGTCCAGAACATTAGAGACTTCACAGAATGCCTAAAGAATAGTTTCATGACTGAAGGCCTTACTATTTCTCTGCGTTTCCATTAAGGCCATATTGATTCAGAAAGAAAAGGTAATCCTCAAGCCCTATAGATTTTTATGCTATTTCAAGTTGCTGCTGTAAAAAGATGACTGTACAGCCATTAATGAAACATCTTGCATCATGCTGACAGACCTGTACGGATAAGCTGTACGCTACCCTATGCTTTCCATACCTAAATCCAAAAGATACATTTCACATTTCTCATATTTCACAAAATGTCTCTGCAAACAGTACCCAGTATTTCTATTTAACTGGCACCCCACTTTACATTCAAAACACCTAAGCCCTCCAAGGGGACCTAGAAGTCAGAGTTAAGTACGCCACTTGCAAATGATAACAGATTAAGTTACAAATGAAACCCAGATCAAGTTAAAATTGGAAAGTGGAATCTAAAACATTGCTGAGTTTGTAAGGGGTTGCCAGTCATCCTCGCATTTCCCTTTCTGTGCAACAGGCCTGACTGCTGCTTGGAGCCGCTCTGCCAGGCTGTAAATCTGAGTGCTCAAGCCACCAGCCTGGGTGTCAACACACCCTCAGCACAGGCTCAAGTCACCCTACTGAAAACCAGACTGTGGCACAAACCCTTTCACCAGCACCAGAGCCCCAAGACAACCTGACCCTCCTCGTTCAGCACACATTTGCCCCACAGACAGCAACTACACCAAGAGTGTAATCTGAAGAGGTTAATTTTCCAAAGTCTCATCTGAAAACTATTGTTTACGAGGTACTAGATGAAGCACAAAGGCAAAGCTCTCTGCTGCTAGTGGTTGTATCAGAGCACGATACTCAAGCTTGGAAACTCCTGCTGACAATACTGCAGTTCATCCTTACGTTGGTATAGTTGTACCAGCCCTGTAGAAGAACACAACAGCTTAGCTGAAACTTCACAGAGCAAATGACTTCAAGCTAATTATTTCCATTTAAGTACAACTACTGTATAGCTGAAATCATAGAACAAAACACATCAGAGAAGCAGCACCACAACAAAACACTATCTACAGCAATTTGATTCCCACCTCAGGTACGTATCAAAAACCTTGCGAGGATAACAATATCTGTTCATTAGCAGTGATCAGGAATCACTGAACTGTTTGTCACTCCTTCCATCTTTACCACTCTACCCTTCAAAAAGCCATTCCATGAGTCTGGAATTTAGCTTAAAATATGCTACAGAAGCTGATCAAACTGATAAATATCACACTTATGTTGGTGCTACTTACGTTTTTGTAAGAAGTATGGCACACTTGAGTGACAACAAAATAGAACTAATTATAGGAAGAGCAGCACAACAGCTAAAGGAAATTTGAGTGATATAGGGACTTAACATATGGGAAGCAATTGGCATCTGCAGATCAAGAGAGCATTCCTTTGTTGAAGGGAAAGA